TTAATATATATATATATATATATATGTGTTATGAAATCAGTCACAATATAGTAGATCAATTAGCATATTAAAAAAGTTGCTTTATATAAAGTATTTTATTTTGCAGTGGAACAATATAATCAACTTTGAAAATGAAATAATACATGCTCTCTAATTTCTTTAAGGGAAGTAAAATGAAATTCCAAAGAAAGATAATTCAGTTAGTTGAAAAAAAAGTTTAATTCATTCTTCAGAGTGAGATTCACTCTAAAAGTTTTAGAGAGTGTATATATTCTAATAAATAATATAAGTATGTATTATTATTGAATTTTTAATCGTTTAAAATGTTTATTATACATTTACATTCAACTCTGCTAATTTTACATGCAGCAGCTTTTAGTAATAATCTAATATGTAATAAAGTGATGAATTTGCTATTAAACATATTGTCAACAAATACACGTATACAGTTTCGAAGGATAAACAGCAATTAATCTTTACTGATGTTAAATTCAAAATTGGATTAGAAAAAAATTTTCAACAAGAAAAGCTTTAACGAAAATCACAACTGTGCGATCGGACTGACTACAACTATGCAACTTGAATGTAGCTTCGAAAGAAAGTCGGTTTATTACGTCCCATTATTGACACTTGCTAACCTAAGTGCAAATATCTCGCTCACCATATCGAGCAGCTCGTGACGACGGAGAATGATGAGAAACTTTCTTCTCGCGATTACATTTAAACGGATCGACAGATCGTAACCTGACTCTTTATCATAAAAATGTAACGAGGGCAAGAGAAAAAATATGTAGTAAAATGCGCGCCGAGATGCACTCTGTATGCGAATTATCGGTGTAATGCAGTGTAATCTGTAATACGAGCGTGAGTCGAGCGAGCGCTTCAACTCGGTTTTTTGCAGCTGCACTTTCTGCACTCAAAAATGAAATAGGTACATGTTAGAGAAACAATTGCACGTTAGAGAAAAAGAGATAAAACGAGAGGGGATAGAAAAAATACAGAAAGTTCAGTTACAAAAAACATTCTTCTGTTAAATCGACGCCAGGGACGAACAATTATCTCAAATATCTCGAGTGCAAATATGTAAACACGAATATCGAGGAGAGAAAGTAAAATGCGTAAAAAGAAGAAAAAGCTAAAATATAAAAATGTCTAAACTAATATACTAAACTAATACACTAAAAGGACATTTTTGAAAACACAAGCGGCAATTTAAAAAAATGATATTTAAAAAATGATGTATAAATTTATAATATATAACTATATTTTAACACATAATATTTTTAGTAACCTCAATATAAAAAATTATAAATACTTTTTTAAAAATTATAATATAAAATTATAACACATGTCTAATCATAATCTCATTTTTTGCTTTTGATTAATTGAATAATGATAAAATTATAAATTTTATTTATAATTACGGGAAAAAATGTTATATATATGGACATATTTATATAATAATATATAATTATATACGAAATATGTCAATTTTAAATATAATTATAATTATATTTTCAACACTGGCAGTGAATTTTGAAACATAATTTGTGTATAAAAAAAGGCCAACATTCATAATAAATTCTTATAATTATATATTTAAGACCATCTTAATTTAAGTACAATCTTAATTGATGTCAAAATTTAATATTACCAAGCCATATTAATCTAAAAATTAAAACATTACTTCAGACGATCTTATAATAAGAAATGACCAAAGAAAAGACAAGAGAAACGTCAATTATTCATTAAATAATTACACACCTGCGCATGTCATAAGTCATAAGGGATTTTTTTGGGAGATCAGAAGGGAGAGAAATTTTGTTTCGCGTTCCGGAACGTCAACGACGTAACTGGAACGAGCGGAAGCGGATCATCGTGAACGGAGCAGCCGCACGTACTCGCTGTCGGATTGTTTGTCAATATCCTCTCCTCCTCCTCCACCACCTCCACCTCCGACGCTGCTTATCCTCCCGCGTTTCAAGGTACGTGCCTCATCATTTGCCAGAACGATCATTGACGAGCACATTCGTTATACTGGCATGACGGACGATCGACAGCATATTCGGTAGTGGAAAGTAGCGGAGAGATCATCGCCACCACTACCATCATCACCTCAGCCTCCTCCTCCTCTTGACTCGCCCTTCACACGCGACGCGTGTGACGTCCCTCCCCTCCCCTCTCCCCTCCCCCTCAGCCGCCGCTGTCAGCTCCGTCGCAGCCGTCGCTGACGATACCAGGACACTGGAATGCGTGAACACGGTGAATCAGCGGACACTCGCGGTAGAACACGCGTGTAACGGTCGGTATTGACACGACACGACGCGCGCGCGAGCGCACGTGCGTGCATACGTATACACGCGCGCGACGATGCATCGACGAGCTCCATCCCCCTCGTCGTTGGCAGGATGCGCCGATCCGTGACCTCATCACCGGCGGGACTCCGGACTTGACGTGTATAAACGGCTCCGGGACGTCACGTCGTGGCTTCGAGCGAGAAAACAGAAGAAGTTCCGGGAGAAACTCCTGTGAACGTCTTCGTTGTAATTAAACTGGATTCTGCGAATACGATATCCGTCTTAAAACGGAACGCAGAGAGTATCTCTTTGATTGAGAAAAATACAAACAAAACATACAAGAACTGTAGATGCATCGCTTGATAGAAGAGTGACGTTGAATCGAGTACAATTTTATTACATTGAAAAAGGACAGAGGAACACTCCTACTGGATTGAACGTGTGGCAAAAAGAATCTCCAGTGTCTATCAGCGTGAACGAATTCATTATCTGTGAACAGTAAGTGTAAAATGTGAGTTAACTTTGGAGTAGATGAGAGGTCAATTCTATATTGATAAATAGAACCAATAGCATATTGGTTGTTTCAGTTGATACCTATTCAAAATACTAATTCAAAACTTTGCTCATGTGATGATTATAATTAATTTGGTATTAATTTGATACTTAGTTTTATTTTCCTAATCACAAATTAAATAGATTGAAGAATAATTCATTTATTAATTATTTTTTTCAAAGTACCCTGTTTTATTGAATACCAATTTAAATAGATGCAAAATGTATTGATAGACTCGTGATTCTGTAAATAATAATATTTTATTGAGAGTTTTGTTATACAGAAATATCGCTGTTTCATAATATTTTTATATGTATTTAAATGTATTAAATTAAGACTATTTTTCTGTTACAGATTCATTGGAAGAAAATGTGTAATGTCAGAGTGATACAATATAGAGACATAGGTGGTCAATACAGAGCGATTATTTATAATAGACTATTATGTATCTCGCTTAGTTGATGTACGGAACTTTGCCTTAGACATTTGTCTAGCGCTTTTATTGCATATCCTTAGTTACGCTCTATTGGAAAATATCCGGTGTTCACAAAACTGCTAAATTTAATGAGGCCGAAGGTGCCTCAAAAGAGGGGAAACTTTCTTTTGAGAAGGTACAGCGTTCTACGATTGACTTCAACAAACAATGAACCATTCGGGAAGCGGAAAACGTCAGGCGAAGGTTTTGGAAGAAAATTATTGGGACTGCAGTGTCTGCACTTATAGGAATACAGCGGAAGCATTTAAGTGCCTCATGTGTGACGTCCGCAAAGGAACCTCTACGCGGAAACCCCGCATAAACCCTCAATTGGTAGCTCAACAGGTCAGTCTAATTATCTTGCAATATATATACCTGTGAACAATAATTCACTCCTTTATTCTAGTAAAGCAAGTTCTAAAGATACCTATCCTATTCTACTAAAAGAATCATATATGTAAGAGTCATGTACATATTTGTTTTATGATATTCTTGTTTAATATTTGATTCTTGTTATTTAATATTTGATGACAAGAAGGATGCTCACGAGTGTTGTAAACATAAGAAGAATTAGCACTTTCAGTATACAGATTATTGTAACTAAAATAGAGTAGGCACCTTCAAGATTAGCTTTACTATTATAGATCCGGGGGATGACGAATTGTCCACGAGTTTATATCATTTACTGGCTGTATTTTTGTGAGTACTGAAAATCTACAGTTCATGTATATTTATATTATAAATTTTTAGTACTCGCAATAATGGAGAACATAGCCTATATAACTTACATACAGAGGAACAAGCCTTTTTTATTTGAAAATGCAACTATTCGTTTTCAAATTATTTTTCACGTTATTATTTCGATATTAGAGTTAACACATAATCAATATGATATTATATCATATCCAGGTTGCGCAGCAACAATATGTACCACTTCTGAAACCAGGTAAGAAAGAAGGAAGTGGCGGTGGTAGCACGACCAGCGGCGTCAAAGAAAAGGAACGCAAACTGGACAAGCTGAGGCGCAAAAACAGGCATCCGCCGCGTCTGAAAAATATTGACCGTAGCACCGCGCAATCGAACGAGGTAACGGTCAATAATGTTACCGTCACTATCACGGAGTATAAGCCCAAGGTGAAAAAGGGCTCGGATCAGTCGAGCAATGCGAGCTCCGAAGGCGGGAGTCAGCACGATTCGAATCAGGACTCGAGAAGTCTCGATGTAGGAACCGACGCCTAGTTTAATGCTAATGTTACATATGTGTGTATGAATTATTCTAATTAATATATTGTACGTATATGTCAACCTTTATGGTCAACTGTACATCCTCTAGACAAAAGCGATCATTATTGACAGTCGCTTTTCTCTCGTTTATGCGTCTATGCGTCGCAAATTGTATGACAAATCTAACGAGGTCATTTTGTGCAGGGTTGGTAAAAAACATGTTTTAAACAGTTTAATTGAGGTTTTTAATATGTTTTAAATGTTTTTTATAGTACTGTTTAAAGTATATTTGAAGTATTAAAAACATAGAAGAAACACAATATGTTCTATTCTTAAAAAAAAAAAAAAAAAACATTAATCTTTACCAACTTTGATTTTGTGTTCTCAGCAGAGATATTATTGAACATGATTCGTATATCATTCAAGGGAAGAAGAATAGGAATATATGTACATTGTATATCACTGTTTTACTCGTTGCACAAAATGTTGAATAATTTGAATCGCTTCTCTATGCATTTTGTGCGAAAAAAAAATGTACTTAAAAGACCGCTTACATTACAGACATTTTTTTATTCTATAATATTTGATTTTGTTTGAAATGTCTATCGGCATGACATTCCACGCTAGATTTAAATATAAAACAAATAGAAGGAAGAAAATTGTAAATATCAGTGAAATGGAATTTTAAGAAATATTGTTAATATAATTATATCCTCGATTTTTATTGAATTTACGAGACCACTGCCAGAAAGCGCGTCGTAAATCGTAATGCGGTTCGGAATTTGTTAACAAGACTAATCAGTATGACTGGCACTGGTACATATGTACATCTTATTCCATTCTAGTTCGTCATTGAATTGAGATGAATTTTCTTGAAATACAAAATACTTAAATAATGAAAATTATATTTTATTGATCTCCATGATTCGCTAGTTTATTCTGCACTTTTATTAAAGCACAGTTAAATTCATCAATTCAATAATTAGATCGAAAAACGTTTAATCACAATTGTATGTACAGATCGAACATTAATTTTCAAATATGTAATATACATGTACTTCACGTATTGAATATTCATACAATACTCTCTGATAAAAAAAGGAAGATAACATTTCATTTTTAGCAAATAAACGAGTTAAGATTATAGAATAAAATCACGTAACATTTTGTTTCAAAACGCAAAAGAATCGTTGAATTTCATTAGTTTTATCATATTTGTAACTGCCCAACAAAATTTCATAACAGCAAACATTTGTTGTATTTATTCAAAATTAAATCGTAGTTGCAAGGACCACAACAGTTCCTTAAGTAAACGGGTAAAGTGGAAAAGAAAGGATTTCTAACACAGCAACATTGTTAATATTATGCCCAATAATTATACACTATCGAAATAATTGTAATACAATTCTGCATTAAAAATGAAAGTAAACATAAGAATCTATCAGTATATATAATATAATCAGAGTAAGTAAAAAAATTAATAGATAAATCAAGGATTGTATACTTGAGGAACGAATAACATTGCCAATTATTTGGTAATATTAACTTGTAAAAATAATCCTCACGACTGCCCTTCCCCCTCAGACTTACTTTTTCGATAGTATCGATATCTTGAATCTATCTGAATTCTTCAAACGAATCGTTACGTAAAACCAGCTGTAGCTTTTACAGACAGATTTTTAATCGACAGGTAATTAAATCACCATTTTTACAAAAATAGTCGCACGCAAATGATATTTTTACAACTTTGTGAAACCATATAAGTTATACAAATTCTTTCTGTCATACATGTTCTTTTTATCTTATATATGTAACCTGCTTATTTTTATATAGCATAAATCTATCTGCATTTTAATAGAATACAAAGATTCCGAATGGTCAGCGTGTTTTCGAGTCTGTACAAAATTTTTGAATTTTTTTTAATTAACATTTCTAAGTGCAATATGTAATCTCTTATTCATGGAGAGATTAATTAATTACAATGGCTATTACAAATTTATAGCATGGCACTGCGAATCAGGGGAATCCGCTTTTAAAAGCATTTTTTTTTTTTTAATGAAACAATGTCTTCAAAATATTACATTGATTATTCGTATCATATATGTGAAAATTCGGAAAATACTTGAATAAAATACTGTATTCTTATTTTCAATAAAAAAAATTACATGATGTAAAATTCTTGAAAAATAAATGGGGTTAAAATTAAACTGTTAACAGGGAAACAATAAATCATGTTTTAAGAAACAAAAAGGAAAGGAGTTTTAATAAGCCTACCAAATATGTATATAGATACATTTATTCTCTTATCGAACAGTTTTTGTTAATACAGATTAATTATCTGTATAAAAAACAAACGCGTAATAAAAGTCGTTTATTTACAATTTCTATGAAATTTTATTCGTTTAAATGTTTTAAAATATAATTAAGATTTTATAATCAATTTTGATACTAATATGTATTCTTTTCTTTTTTTATCTCTTTTTTTATTTCTTTTATGCTTGACGATTCCTGATTTTCAATTTCCATATTTTCCATATCTTCGGTGACATCCATTGTCTCTTCTTGCCGAGATTCTGCCAAAGTTTTCGATGCAACGCGTTTTATAAATCTCTCTCGCACTATTAATCAGAGTAAAAAAGTTTAACACAATGACATAATGACTTAATCTATATTAAAAATTACTTATACATACCTGTAGGTATCTCCATAAGATCCAACACTTTAAAATTGTGCTCCTTATTATCTCCGCCAACAGTGAATACAAATCCATTATCTGGATTCGCTGCAAGGCACTGTATAGCGCCCAAATTACTCGTCTGTTCCCATATAAGAATAGGAGATTCTTGATCTATATCCCATGTTTTTATTACACCATCATTCGAACAAGAGACTAACAGACCTTGACATGATGTACTAAGAGAAAGACCTGGAAAAAAAATAAAAAAAATGAAATTTATGAATTATAATATAAAACAAGTTAAATAAGAGATTTACCTGTGACTTCTTTTTCATGGGCCTTAAATTGCCATAATGGTTTGTGTTTTCGTACATCAAAGTATTCTATATAACCATTATCTGTGCTAACCTGCAAAGAAATTCAATTACAAATATAACGGAAAGCACAAAATTTCAGATACATGTAAAACGTACAATACAATAATTTGGATCATGATGATTCCATAAGACTCTTTCCACTTCTCCCAACGCCTCCCATTGTATAACAGATACTTCGTTCATGCAATCGTATAGTTTTATTAATCTGAAAAAATATTAAAGTAGATATCTATGTAATACAAATGTTCATCAGTTCATCAATAGGATAATCTACATACCCATCAGCGCATCCTATCAATAACTGATGAGTTTCTTGTGGATGCCATTTTAGCGTTTGCACTTTTTCGTTGAAGGGACCTAGTTTATTGACAGGTTTACCATTTTCCAAGTCCCATAATAAGACTGTCTGATCGGCCGAACCGCTAGCAAGAACATGTCTGTAAAATGTAGTAATAACAAAATTAGCTATTACATTGATATTTTTTTGTGAAATTGATAACTGACGTATAATTATGATTCCACGACACGTCTAGAACTGCATCTCTGTGACCAATGCGTTTTTGTTTCTTCATTTTATTTGGTTTACGACCTAATTTGTAGGCTGGTTCTAAGCAGTCTATCAAGTCCAAGTCCCATACTTCAATTATGGGTGTCATACTACCAATAGCACATAAATTGCCTAAAAGCATAAACATAAATCTTTAATTACATCACAATCTTTTATTACATAAAAAAATAATATAATTTATATTTCCTATAAGAATTTCTAATGTAATTAAAGTACTACTCACTTGGTTTTGAAGTGGTAGGATCGTAGTTAAGCCACTCTATGCACAATGGAAATGAAGGTAGTAATATATCATGATGACAATAAAAGGAT